CTTTCTCACTGTAATTCATTCTCAATGTAATTCGATCATTCATTCTCACTGTAATTCATTCAATCGTTTATAATGTCTACCTAAAATATGAGGATGCTTCTTGGTATTTGAAGGTGAACTCTAGTTTAGATCAGGGAGAATTCTCCCTCAAATGTTTACTCTCTCTAGTTCCTTTAGATCATGTCTTGGAGAGGGCTTCATTTCTAGGTTTTGTCTGTTGCAATCCTATTTTTTTCGTAACAAAGCCTGCAAAGATTGTGCCGGAATATTCACTGCACCCTCTATTTTCTGCAGATATAGGTTTTCTATGTTGTTTAATCGATTGTTCATCTGTGGCTATCATAGAACTGATAGGATGTCTTCTCTCATTTCATAGCGTTTTATTAATTCTTATCCTTGGTTAGTGTGGATTCCATCTTATTTTCAAATACTGTTTTGCTTTGAAACTTTGATGTTCGTGCCAGAGTACTTTTAATAATAACCACAATTGTCGGACTCATAATACATGGATGTTTTAATTAGTGTTGCCATAGAATCCTCTTATTCTCATCTTCTTGAGAAGATATCCTGTCTGATGCACAATGAAATGAACTTGGTTCTAAACTCTTTTTCTTGTTACTTCCCTGACTTGGTTACAATTACAGATTAGTTTCACAGAAAAGGTACACCTCAATTTCTTAAACTAATGACTTACGCATGCTATATGGAATTGTCCTTTCCCTCCATCTTTCTTCTAATTTGAATTCTGTGCTTGATCTATCCATATGAAGAATCTACTACTAAAATTAAGTCATAAGAATTGTCGTCTCTTGAAATTCCAGTTGATGCTTTGTCTTCGTTGGGATTCCTTTATAACTTATGCTATCATGAATATTTTTTTGGAATCAAAGGGATTAATAAAGAGGATGATCATCTACAAGATGCCCCTAATCCTTACATACAAATCAAAGGGATTAATAAAGAGGTTGTAGCTGCTACTGGTTCAACACTTAAGCTGGATGGTTCATATACTACAAAGGTTTTGCCTCTGTTTATGCCTCTTTGAGTCCATTATGTCTTAATATGGCCTGAATTGATGTCTCACTTTTGTACTGTCCTTGTCAGAGTTACCTTCAAATAATTCTGGAAAGATTACCTCCACCAGAAAGGAGTTCCAGTGGGATTCATACTTAGCAAGCTTCAAGATTGCGGGAACTTGTGGAATTTATACAATCTCAGGTACATAACAAGCATTTGCTTTCTAGAATCCTGAAACATTCTTGATATTCAAAATGCATAGATGTCTAGAATCTGATAGTATGAAAGAGTTTTGAATTTTGTTTGTGACCCAAAAAATCTACAAATCCGGGAAAACGAAAACCTTCTTCAATTCTCGATGATCACTGGCACCTGTAACAGAGATCTTTGTTTTCTTATATATTTGTTAGATAGTTTGTGTTGTTTGACAGTTTCATACATGTTTTACTCCTTGTTTGAGTAAAAATGTCAAGATATATGATCATGGCTCATAAAATGTGGAAATTATAACATTGTCCAATAGATCAATGTGCTAGATACCTTGAATATTGATAAATATTAAATACTAATTACTAGATCTCGAATTACCCAAATTTTGAAGTAAATGTATTATGTAACCCTTTGTAACCATTTGGAGGCAACTACCTAAACCTTGCGCTGTTTTCGTATGTGCATTTTTTATTTTTCTTATGTGTTTATTCCTTTCTACATTTGTGTTCCATCAATCTTAATGAAGTATTACATATCACAACGCCATATTAATGAAGGATGGATACACCATTTCTTTTCTTCATTTTCTAAAGAAATGTTTACTCATTTCTTGCACTTGGACCCCAATAACCTCTTATAAATTAGTCATTGAAATTGAAGGAGGTGGTAGCCTGTTTCTGCCTTCAAATCATTTCACATGAAAACTTCATTCAAATGATATGATGGATCTTCATGGTAAAGTGTTCCATTATTTTGAAATTTAACATCTCTTAATCAAATAATTGGTTTCTTTGTCAAACGCTTTTCCAATCAGAAATCATAGAAACTATTAGTTAATGTAAACCTAAAGCTTTAATTATGATTTTAGAGACCTTTTGGAGAAAAAAATTCTGATAAACCCAGATCCATGTCCCCCATTTCTTCTACTACAACTTTCATTTTGAATCGTTCATGTTTTTTTTCAATTTCACCATCATTTTCTTGCACTTCTTCATCAACATCACTTGTCATCTCTACCCCACTAATTTCTTGCATTAATTTGGAGAAACAGGGCATTACTCTAAATTGGGTGAAAAACTCATCGCCCTCTTTCCAAAATTTCTTGATTCTAAGTAATTATTATATATGTGCCAGATAGTTTTCTAACCCAACAACATCAACTTCCTACTTCTCACCTATGAGAGGTTAAGGGTCGACTTTCATTAGAGACAAGGCTTTGTGGCACCATTCTTTGAACTTATATTTGTATAATTTGCCACCTATTGCAATCGCTACTTCCTATATATCATATATGCATCTTCTAAGGGAATAAACTAACCAATTGTGAATATTTTTGCATATAATATTCCTAATCAGTCTAAAGTTATACTTACCAGATGCACATGAGCCATGGCACATGTAATAGTATTAGCAATTGCATTTTCTCTGTTGAACTTGTGCCATCAAGGATACCAATGGAAAGTGTGGTAGTGCCAAAAATAAATAAATAAATAAAAATTGCATGATTGTCCAGGACCTACGGTGAATTGTATATTTATATCTCTAATATCATATTCCCGAAAGTAAGAAAAATTTAACAATGATTCATATAACTTTGGACAAAACAATGATTCATTATAAATAAATAATAATATCTCAACTACACATTACATTTTTTATATTTTTTTTTGTATTCTACTTCTAGGGACTTGGCATTATTAAGAAAAATTTGACTCATATTTGTTAGGTAATTGAGAGACAAAACATGACTCACTTAATGTGCTTTAGAATTTCTCAATTTATTTACAATACCATATAGATAATATCACATGGTATTTCATAACTTTTTAATAATTTTTCAATGCACAGTAACTGATGCATAAAAAATGTGTAGTAAAGACGGTTCGGTAATGTTCTTAAGGTCTATTGATTCAAGAGTGAATATTGGAAGTAAAATTTTACCCTAAGCTTGTTGATTCATAATGAATATTGCGAATAAAAAGTTAACAATGATTGATTCAAAACGAATGCTCAAGATTGAAAGAAGAATCAAACTTGAAATTGCATCAATACTTAAAATTTCGAGCGGACAATAATTATTTATAATGAAAATCATATCTAATAATAATAGAAGAAAATCGAAATTGACCGTCTTAACTAGGTAGATATAAATAAGGGAACACAAACCAACATACTAAAAATGAAAATATCAAAACTAAATATAGAAACTACTGATTTTATGCTGCTATGATGAAGGTAGAGTCTATAGAATTGAATTCTAACTTTATAATGAGAGTAATTGAAGTTGTAAAACATTTTAAAAAGAAAATATCTCAATATTGATGGTCTAAACAATAAAATTCACCTGAAATCAACTTATCCATGACAAAAAGTAAATATATCTTGTTCAGAACGACATTTTCACATCTTACTACAAGAATTTACACATTTTGCGACCACTTTTGCCGACCAAAAAAATTTTGGTCGCAAAAAAATGACATTTGGCGACCAAATATTAATTAGTCGCGAATGATCATTAATTTTGCCGACCAAATATTATTGGTCGCAGAAGGTTATATTTTGGCGACTAAAAAATGAGTTGGTCGGAGAAAGTGGTATGCTTTTGCCGACCAGCTACAAATTTGGTCGCGGAAGGTCACATATTTTTTGGCGACCAAAAATTTGGTCGCCAAAAACTTATTTTCAGCAATCAAAAAAAATTAGTCGCCAAATTAGTACTTTTAGCGACTAATATTTTAGTCGCCTTTGATTAAGATTTGGCGACTAAAAAAATTTGTCGGCAAAGGTACCTTTTCTGCGACAAATGTGGTCTTTTGGTCGCCAAAAGTTTGGGAGGGAAATTTGATTTTTAGTGGGGCGGGAATTGAAATTTTTTTGTGACAAATAAATTTGGTCGCCAATAACAAAACGACGTCGTTTTGTACCATGAAGGCAGAAAAAGAAAAAGAAAAAAAAGAAGAGCCCTAATCTCCATTGTCTCTATCTCACTTTGTGTCTCGGTCTGCCCTCTCCCTCTCTGTGTTCTTTCTCTCAATCGGTGCCCTCAATCGGTGGCCACTCTCTCTAGCTCACTGAAGTCCCTCACCACCGTTGCTCACATCCGTCGCACATCGCCACTGCCGTAAATCGCCATCGCCCTCTATCTTTCTCTCACACAGAGGGAGCGATTGCTGGGTATTCGCTGTTGTGGTTGTTGATGTGGGCCACCGGGATGGGTGTGCCAATCCAGCTGTTGTCGGCGAGGATCGGTGTCGCCAGGGGGAGGCACTTGGCAGAACGGAAAAAATGATGTCATTTTAGAGTTCCATGTGGATGACACAACTGGTGCTAATGAGGTTGATTTCAGTTCATATTGAGTTTTCTGAATCATGCTGTCTTTGTACATCTGATGCTTTCTAGGTTGAATTTATTAGAGCAATTTCATTATCATGATGCTTTGGTGTTATGGTTGTAGAAAGATTCATTGATGGAGATAAGTTTTCACATTCCTAATTCGAACACTCAGTTTGTTGGTGATGAAAATCGTCCCTCTACTCAGGTAAGTTTTTTTTTTCTTTTGGTTTCTTGGGTTTACTTATATTTTTTTCTTTTATGTTAGGTCTTTCGTGCTAAAATCATGTTGATGGCAGATGTTGGTGCAGGCGGTGAAAAGTCTGTTGTTACAATTGAAGGAATTGCGATTCTTACTCCAAGGTGAGTACTGTGCTTCTATCTGGTATCTTTTGTAGTTCCATGGTATTTATATTATGTTGGTTTTTCTTTGTGCCGGGGTCGATACAATGTTGAACGTCATCTTTCATTTTTGAGGCTCCAAGGGCAAGCTAATGATTTTAAAATTCAGTACAGCAGTGTTGTTCGCCTTTTTCTACTGCCTAAGGTTATTTATTATTTATAGTTTAGAAGTTTTTTTTTTTTTTTGATCCAGAAGTTCATTTTCTTTGCTTAATGTTAGAAAAATTAACATGCAAATTGTCAATTGATCAATGTTGACTAGTTGTGTTTTTTGGAAGATGCAACAATATTCAACTTAACTCACATATATTGTCATGTGTTTCTGCAATCTAACCAACCACATACCTTTGTTGTTGTTACTCTCGATCCACCTATCCGTAAAGGCCAAACTTTGTACCCACATATTGTCTTGCAGGTATTGTTGGTTGTGTTTCATTAAGGTCACCATTTAAGCTTTCTTAGAGATCATGTGTCCATGTGATGATTTATATTGTACCCTACGATCTTTATGCAGTTTGAAACAGACTATGTGGTTGAAAGCACCCTGTCAATGAATGAAGAGCTTTTGAATAGCAAATACAAGGACAAGTTAGAACCATCGTATAAGGTACAGTAGTGATGTTGTTTCATCCTTTGATGCCATTCCTAATGCACCATTTTGTACATGTTCAAAAGACAATTTGTTGCCTTTTTTCTTTTTTTTTTCTTTTTCTTTTTTTTTTTGTTGTGTGTGTGTGTGTAATAAATTACACAATTTTGCTTATATTGTGATAGCAATATATATATAAGAAACTAAATCTACTCTGGTATGATTTTATTTTCTGTAATACATCAGGGCCTGATTCATGAAGTATTCATTTTGATAATGCGTGGCTTGTTTGGTGCCAAAGTCACTAGACCTGGGAAGTTCCGTAGCTGTCAAGATGGTTATGCTGTTAAGTCTTCATTGAAAACTGAAGATGGTGTCCTGTATCCACTTGAAAAGGGATTCTTCTTTTTACCCAAGCCTCCAACTCTTATTCTTCATGAAGAGGTAACTTTCTGGCCATACAAATGCTTTAACCCTGTGGTATACTATATGATTGATGCAATCAAATCCATTTTAACTAGTCCTTGAGCAATCATCCAACACCAACTATTACATGATTCAGTTCGAACCATAATAGAATTTTAATATCATCAGCATTTTAACTTTGACTAATGCACATTGACTCATTTGCATTCAATAATAGTATAATTTTGTAAACTAGGCTACACAATTTAAAAACCCCACCTCTAGAATAAAATCTAGCCATTCTACATACAATCTACAATGCAAGGCAACTTAGTCTCTGGCTAAAGGTTTTATAACTATAATTAGGAACCAAAAGGGACAAAATATCAAGGCAAAGCACCAATCTATCTGTTTGCTCTAAAGCACCAATTTTTTCACGGGTGGAAAAGTCATGTGGGGATGTCTTCCATAACTGTATTTATCTCATGTGGGGATGTCTCAAAGATGTTTGGCCAAACATAGTTTAGTAAGTGAACCAAAGCATCCTCACATTCCAACCCAGCAACTCCAAAAGGCATGTGCTTCACAGCAGAAGCAGCAGTCTGCCTATGAACCAAATCTCTATCCATGAGAGCATCCTCTAGCAATGGAGTCACTGCATAAATGTAATCCTTTCCCATTTCACCATGTACTCGAATAGAAACGAGAGGGACTTCAGAACACCATTCTGAACATTAAGCTCTAGCACATGATATTCATTCATCAAGGCTGGTAAAACTGTAAAAGGAGAATGCATTCTGAAAATTTGTGCTTAAATGGAATATAAATTCTGGCACACGACTTCAGAACACCATTCTATAAATTTGTGCTTAAATGGAATATAAATGTTTTTACCAAATGTCTTGACTGCAGAATGCATGGAATGAAGCATTTCACTCTGGGAGGCATACAGAAGCAGTGGAGCATTATACTGCCATGGTTTCAAGCAATATCAAATCACGTCCTTTTGCAGCCATTTGTTTTTGCAACCGTGCTGCTGCACACCAATCTCTGGGCCAAATTGCTGATGTTATTGCCGACTGTAGTCTAGCCATAGTTCTTGAGGGAAGTTACTCAAAGGTTGGCCTTTAAAATGTATACTATGCGGGGTGTTAGCTTATTTTTTGTTTTGTTGGAAGAGGTTATCAAATGATTCTCTTTAATTTTATTTTTTATTGTACTTAATGGTCTTGTTTCTGTTTCTATTGTCATTTTCTTTCTCTTTTCTGTTTCTGTCATTTTTTTTTTCTCTCTTTTCTGTTTCTTCTTCTTATGCCTATTCAAGTCCACCTCTACTAGCTGCCTGCCTTATAGGATTCAGCACTGGGCAATGGCATGATTTTTACTTAATAAACTTTTATAGCCATTTCAACATTTTGAACCTTTGCCTGCTACTAATAACTCCTCAAGTGTAGGTTTTTTTATTGTTTATTCTCAATCATGTGTAGTTTTTTGTCACAAGAGATTTGAGTAGGTAGCTATATTCTCCGCATGATATAGTTATGAGCATTATCAATTTCTCTTTTCTACATGGATTCTTTCCAAACCCCTTCCTTTTGTAAGCTTCTCTTTGTTGGTAATTTTGTGCCTGATTGGCCCAGTTCTTATGCAGGCAGTTTCTAGAAGAGCCACCTTTCATGAAACAATTAGAGATTATGAACAAGCAGCCAGTGACCTTCATAGACTGATCTCTCTTCTTGAAAAGCAATCACAAGAAAAGGTTCAACAGTGTGGCTCTGGCGGCAATGTTAAAGAATTAAGACAAGCTCGTCGTCACGTATCCTCAGTGGAAGAAAAGGCTAAAAATGGAATTGCCTTGGATCATTACCTCATTTTGTAAGTCCTCTGCATTTGTGTTTCCTTATGATATATTTTATTTCCATGGACTTGGATTTCTTTGATGGAACTTGATTTATTACATAGATTTTGATTGCATATTGATACATTATATAATTTCGTATTTGTATTTTTATTTTTGTAGTTTACGTTAAGTTGTGACTGATCTATCTACATTTTTCATATTTGATTTTCACACAGTTTTTGATGAATTTTAGCATTTTGGAATCTAGCTTGAAAAGTTCCTTATTCTGCCCCATTATTTAAGTTTATCTTTTCATTCATTTTCAGATCATATTTTAATGCGTGTTAATTGCAAATGATGTTTGGTGTTGGAAAGATGTTACAAACAAAATATATAAGCACATTTTGCATAATCAACCATTTCTTTGTAAGTTTTTTATTGAAATAAAAAAGAAATCTAGTAATTAACTCATGTTTTTTGGCTTGAGTGTCAGGTGTACAAATTTAATTCTAGCTGGACCAGCAGCATGGGATGATCCTAAATCTATTTTTTTTTTCTAGTTCCTATAGTTAGTTATCTACATATGATGACAGCTTCTTTTTGTACAATATATATCATGTACTATGTATTAGTGGTTGTGCCCCTTTTGGCACCATTAGTTAATGATCTTTTACTTATATAACTTAATCCCCCCCAAAAAATGGTGCTAAAATATGCAAACTATATGTAATGCATGTGAATTTGACAAGTAGTTCATTTTTCTTTTAGAAACATGAGCACATACAATTAGAACATACTGGAGAAATCTGGAATTAACTTTCTACTCTGTGTTTTATCTAGAATGTTGCCATCTCTTTCAACCCTTACTCTGATGATTCTTCCTATTGTATCCAAGTGGAGTTGTCATGTTACTTTTGTGAGATTGAAGTCGTTGAGGCTACCATTGTGATTGTGACCTAATAACTCTTTGAGTATTGTAAGCTTCTAAAGTTATTTCTTATTACAGGGGAATTAAACCGTCTGATGCAGCATCCGAAATAAAAAAGGCATATCGGAAAGCAGCACTGAGACTGAGACATCATCCATACAAGGTCTTTGGATTTCTTCAGTTGTTTGTTATCACTCTGTCATCCTTGTCATTCTTTTTAATGAGTTTATGTTAATATAGGTTGGTCAATTCCTGGCAAGAAATGGAGATGATGGACAACTCTGGAAGGAAATAGCTGATGAAGTGCACGAGGATGCTGATAGACTTTTTAAAATGATCGGACAGGCATATGTTGTGCCTTTAGATCTGACCAAGGTATGCTATTAGCAAGATATGCTTAACTAGATGAGGTTTTCTATGAGATGTGGGCCGTGAACCTTGAGTTTATTTAGCATACTGTGTTTTTAAATTGATCTGCTTATTGTGTTCTTTCATAATCATGTGTAGTGATCTTGATTTGCATGTTTTGGTCTTTCATTCTGTCGAATTGTCTTAAATACATAAATTTATATAATCTACAAGTTCACCAGATAGTTTCAGACTGAAATAATTGGATCATTATCCTCTCCATTCGTGTCCTTTCAATCTTGTGAATCTTAGATACAATCAGATATAGCATACATGAAGAATAAACAGTAATCTGACTACTCAATGCTTTAATACCTCCATGCTAAACACTTGACTAAAGAATGGTTATAATCTAAGAAGCACTGACACGGACACGGACACAGATACGTGACACGACACAAATACGACATGGACACGCCGACTATGACAATTTTCAAAAAATACAATACACGACACATGTGGCAGCAGTGTGGGTCTGTCCCTCTTCTTTTCTTTTTTTTTTCTTCTTTCTTTTCCTTTGGTGGTCCACATGATTTGTCTGGCTTCAGAAAGATCATCCTTATCTGTTTGGATGGTCTGCATGATCTGTCTGGCTTCAGTGTCTGCTCCAGATCTGTCTGCCTTTTTCCTGATCTGTCAATCATCCTGATCTGTCTGGATGGTCATCCTGATTTGTCTGGATGCTTGTTTTTGGAGTATACTGGTGGTCTGCATGATTTGTCTGGCTTCAGTGTGTGCTTCAGAACCTTTTAATTTTGATGGGTTGATGACCTTCCAGGTCAGCTTTGTAAATTCGATTGCGACAATTAAGGGTGGGACTCATGTTGATTATGTTACCAACCAGATTACAAACTATGTAATGAGTATTGTTAATAAAAAGAATAAGATTGCTAATCACATAGATTTTCTATTTTAGTAACCTTATGATTATGATTCACTGGTGTTGTCATATTTTGTTGAATTGTTTTATTTTTTGAAAGAAAGTAATATTTTATGTTCTTTAATTTCCACCTCTTTAGTGAGTATGGATTTTTTGTGCTTGAGTCTGCACCATTTTCTCTGCAGTGAGTCTTGATGTTCTTGAGGGAATAATCCTTGATCATAATATTTACAATCAAGAATAAAAATGGGCTCTGTAGTTTCTACAAAGGTATAACATACCTTAAGCACAATGCACCCCTCTATATGCAAATGTTTGTTGGATGGGAAGTGTTTGATTGGGGTGGGGTATATTCAACTGTATGTGGATGTGTTTAAGAGCAGCAATTGTAATTTACTGTAATGCATTTTTTTTCCTTTGCCACGAATCATTGGCATTCTAAATGTCATTTTAACTTTTGATTTCTGTTATTAACAGGTGGAACCTGCTACCCTCGTTCCATTGGCCAATGGATGCAAACAAGTATTTCTGGTAAATATATGATAGTAGTTCTGGGGTAGACCTTCCCCCAAAACTCATTACAGTTTAACATCTGATGATGTAATGTGTGTTTTTTTATTTTTGTCAATATCAAATGGTATTATGGTCCTACAATAACTACAAAGGCAATAAAATAAGCAAAAGCACACAAGCTAATAAGATATGTTAGGTAAATGTTTTCTAAAAGGAGTTGTTGCTGCTTTCAAATAAATGTTTTTCAGATGGCTTTGTCCAAACAGTGCCAAAATTGGCACTTGGAAGCAACTAAATAGGATTAGCAATAGCTTTGTTCTTAGTATGGGTGATTTAAACTGTAGGTATGATTCCCATAGAGTGCCCCTGTATACGAAAATTGTTCAGACTCTATCTATGCAAGTTACTATTAAGTTGGTGATTATTAATTGTAGTTGTTGAATTATGCACAAGTTAATATGCATGTGAACTACAGTTTCACCCCCTTTTTTAGAGTTTTTTCGTTGACTTTGCTATGCCTGCTTTACCATTTAGTTGAAAAAGTAATAGAGGAGAATTGGGATGTCTTCACAAGTTGCTGTATTTATGTATAGATAGTATCAGCTATTCTGATTAATGTTCCAATTATAGGAAACTCTGCCTTCCAAGAAACATAGAAATTGTGAATTGTACAGACTAACACCAAATTTTGAACTCAACTTTAGTATTGTGAAAATCTGTTTTTGAATTGCATCAAAAGGCCAATGTAAGACCAGTGGATTTTCAATGATTTTAACAAAAACATTACATAATAAACAACATGTGATTAGTAATGAATTGGAAGCCTAATTATGCTAGTCTCATCACATAGTAACTTGCATTTTGATTTGAAATTTCATAAATAAATAGATCACACAGTACCATAACTCATTATTTTCTATGCAAATGGACATACCCTTGATTGAGTTTCAACTTATATATAATTTTGAATTGCACATTAAATTTTCAATGATGAAATGTTTCTAGCTATGTATTTTCTATGTTTTGTTCTTGTCAATTTCTAGCTGATCAAGACTTACAAAGCGAGCATTAGATGACATTTTTATAGGTTTTAAATGTCCTAAAGCGTATAAGTGATGAAGACTGCAAGTTGTTGGGCTTGAATCCTAAGTATGCCCATCCTGATTGGATGAAATTGCGATAGGATGTCATTGTGGTATGAGCATACTACAGGAAGAGCTGAAGAACTGTTCCAATAGCCTCATACCTTGTTATTTTCTTTGATTTCTTTGTTCTTATAATTTTTGGTGAGAGCAAAGTGTAGTTTGAGATTGAATTTTTAGTGATTGTTTTTGCCAAATCACAGATTGTACGTACTATTGCTCTTGTATACAAATATAAATTCTCAAGTTTTCTTCTTAGTTAAATTCTTTGGCTGTGTGTCATGAATTTTGTTCCTTAATTGTGGTACCGAAACTGTGAGCAAATATGAATTTTTTAAATGTTATTGTTCCTTAATTGTGGTTGGGTTGAATGAATTTTGTTTGATATTGGATTGAATGTTTAAAAACAAAAATTGAATTTCTAAAAAAAAAAAAAAAAAACACAAATAGAGAGATTTGACGACTAAAAAATTGGTCGGCAAATTCTACACTTCTGCGACTAAAATCATTGGTCGGCAATTCCTTACAATTTGGCGACTAAATTGTTAGTTGGCAATTCCTTGACAATTGGCGACCAAACGTTTTGGTCGCGAAATGTGATAATTGGCGACCAAACTTTTTGGTCGCAAAATGTGACAATTGGCAACTAAGATATTTGGTCGGCAAAATATCACTTTTCGCGACCAAAGTGTTTTAACGACAAAATGGATTAGTCGCATTAATTAAATATTTAGCGACCAAAAATTTAGTCGGCAAATCCAACTTTTCCCGACCAACCAAAATTTTGGTCGCGAATTACTTTTGCCGACCCTCAATTGGTGACCAAAGTAGCGACCAAAAAATTTGGTCGCAAATAACTTTTGCTGTCCAAAAATGGCCTTTTAGCGACCAATTTTTTGGTCGGCAAAAGTGTTAATTCTTGTAGTGTTAATTTTTTGGTCGCTGATCAGCCGACCAAATTTTGAGCACTTTTGAGTACATGCAGTTGATTCTTATTAGATCTTGTGCAATATAGAAATTATGTTGTCATGTTTGGCCATGTGCTCCAAATATTGCATGGGCAAATAAGTTGCATCATATATAAACTTTTATTTATTGCAGCACGTGAACAATAAGAAAAGAAATGAAATGATTATATAAATTAAGAGGGAAAAAAAAAAGAAAAGAAGAGAAAATAAAAGAAAAGATAATGATTTATTTCATATGTTGTTTGGTGAAATTACATAAAATCCAAAGATAATGTGAATGCTTGACGTGATCTGTAAGAAATAAATATTAGAAAACCATTGCACTTGCAGTTAAGAGGGTCCAATAAAGTTTATGTATCCCCTACACAATTCACAATGACCAAGGATGGGAAAGATATATTTCTCAAAGTACTCAAGCAAGCAAGAGTACCAAACAGTTCTGCATCTAATATCTCTCGACACATGCACTTACAAGATAAAAGTATTTGGGGTCTTAAGAGCCATGATAGTCATATTTTGATGCACCAACTTATTCCTTTAGCTATACGGAGGTCCTTGCCTAAGAATGTGATTGAACCATTGATTGACTTGAGCACGTTTTTTAGACAATTATGCTCCAAAGTAAATCGTGCAAGTGATTTGGAATATATTTAAGATCGTATTGCAGTAATTCTTTGCCATCTTGAAAAAAAATTTCCACTAGCTTTCTTCGACATAATGGAACACTTGCCCATACATCTTGCTGATGAAGCATTGATTGTCGGAGCAATACAATTTCGATGGATGTATCCGATCGAGAGGTTTCTTCTTACATTGAAACAATATGTGCATAATTGAGCTCATCTGGAGGGTTCAATAGCTAAGGGTTATTTGATGGAAGAATGCATGAACTTTTGTTCACACTATCTCCTTGATGTGGAAACCAAATCTAATCGTCCGAGGAGAAACAATGAAGGTGATGACAAGATGGGTCGAGCTGTTGGCGAAAGTATAACATTTTATCTTAATGATAATGAATTACAATAGTGTCATCGATATGTGTTGTTCAACACAAGGTCAGTTGCACCATTCAAAAGGTAATTTATTACTCCCCCAATATTGTAAAATTCTAAAGTGAAATTTATATGATATTTACTATTCTCTTTCAATTTACACAGCAAACACCTTGAAGTCATTAAGAGCAAAATGCGTCGTGCAAGTGATCATCAGATTCATTATGAGCATTTCGAAACATTTCACACTTGGTTTAAGGACCATGTATGTATTTAGACATTTCATTTCACATATCTAAATATACATAAATTTTGAGTTGAAGTTGAAGTTGAAGTTGAATTTATATTTGTCTTGTAATAGGTTTAAACCATGCGAAGGACAAGTAATGTTACATTTACTGAAGAAATCAATAGATTAGCAGATGGTCCTCATACCTTGGCAGGCGGTTCACTGGTTACATTATCAATAGGATTCGTTTTTGTGTAAAGGTTGTGGATGACCGTCGGGTGACTCAAAATAGTGGTGTAGCTTTAAAGGCTGATACAATGAGTTATGCTAGTCAAAAGGACAAAAGACCTCGCGTCAGTGATGTGTACTACTATGGACGGTTAACTGATATTGTTCAAATCCGGTACACAACAATATGAAATATGTGTTGTTTAACTATGATTGGATTGATAACACTAGGTGGAAAATGGAAGACGCTTTCAAATTTACATTAGTCAACTTCAATCTTTTGTTATACCCAACCGATTGTGTTAGCAATGAACCTTTTATATTATCATTCCAAGTCGAGCAAGTTTGGTAAGTTCCTGATCCATTGGAACCAAATTGGCAAGTTGTGGTAAAGATGTCTCAAAAAGGTCTTTTTGATATGAATTCTAATGATGGCCCTCAAGTTGAACCCTATACGACTCAACATTTGGAAAACACCGCTATGCTTCGTGATGAAGAAATTGGTTGGGTGAGAGAAGGAATAGAAGGAGCAACAATTGATGTTGAGGAAGAGTGTTGAACTTTTATTTGCTTGGTGCATAATAGCATGTTTGTTTCATGCCTAATTGCTGAATTTGTGGGAAATTTATATGTGTTTTTGTGTTGTTCTATTATCCATAGTTCATCAACTTAGAATGAGTGTGTGAGCGCGTCATTTATAGTATGATCATATGCACTTTTGAATGTGGATATACAAAAATGGAAGTCTCAATTATATGTCATTATGCATCCCTTTGTGTGTTTGTGATTGCTGATTGTTTCACTTTTTCTAGAAATCATGAACATCTTTGCCACAAAACGCACAACCAAAGGTTTGTGCCCTAGTTTTCTTTTTCCTAATTTATAATTCATATTAATTACACAAATGTATTAATTTAATTAAGAACGAATTATTCTATTTCTGTGTTGTTTGATTATAGAGGCG